TAAAATGCTTATGTCTGACTTTTTGCTACCCAACAGTATGTTTGGGTAACTTAATTAATTTAAAACAAATTCAACAGAAGTTCTACTGATTTATTTACTACTGCGACCTCATTTGAAATCGTAATCCACTGGAAATGTAGAGTGGTCGCTGGTTTTGCTAATGTAAGATGAGCGCTAACTGTCTGTGGTTGCCTGCTGCGTGAGACGAGAAACAAAGCCGATTGTACTTTTCCGACGTATATTCTTACTCTAATGTTTTCTGATCACATAATATTGTTAATGAAATTAGTGTATGTGTATTTGACACAATTCTACGAGTGAATTTCTATTTCATACAAACAGCAATTCCCAATAATTTTTCGCAAACTCTAATAAGGAAATTTGCTGCCTTATAAAATCTGGATATATTATTAATTTTACTGTTATGCAGGTAGTTAATTAATATTTGCTTATTAACATTGGCGTTATAAAGCAATAATAATTTGTATGCGCTGTATATCGAGATTTCAGTTAGTTGCCATTAATTGGCGTCAGTAGCATGATTTTGAATGATAACATTCGATTTATCAATATGCGTTTTGCTAATATTTGTCAAATTATTTAATAGTTTTTGAACTCATGTTGTTCATGGCCTATCTAACAGAATCTGCATTGTAAAGTTTTTATTTCATAAGTTCTAAAATTTTTTTGTTTTTTTTTTTTCAATTATGTTTTTATCATGCTGCTCTTATAACATCGACCTTCCAACGAATCAGGAGGTTAGTGGCCGGATGAAATTGCTCTTACAATAATAGGAGTTTTACCTAGTTTGTATTTATGACTCTACAGAATGTCATCAATAAAAGTGCAGACAGAATTGATAGACATGCGAAGTATAGATCTATTTCTAACAATAATAATCAATTATATAGTGTTCTATAGTTGAAGTAGGTAATGCATATATAACTTTACACTCGTCTGTACTATAGCTGAATGCAATAGTGCTGATAGTCTTATTAAGATATGTTTTTCTGTCTGCCTAATAGATGAAGATGGATAAGCATGAGCTCGTTACCCGACTACTATTGCCATACTAGCCCATCACAGTATCTCTTACAAGTAGTTTTAGTTCTAGCTGCATGCTAATAAGTAAGCCTTGTAATTAGCTCCATCATTGGCTACACTTTATATTAAATTTTTATTAAACACTGATTTACCACTTTAAAAATGAATTTGCACTTCTTTGAACCAGTTTGTAGCCGTCCAACATACCATTAGAATCATTTGCGACATCAACATAAAAAAAACCTTGTATTGTAGCTTGTTCCATGTTATAGTATCACGCTTTGCTTGTGGATGCTGCTTGCTATTGTAACACGACCTGTGGATGAATATAAGCTGGCGCAAACCACGCTCCATCCGTTAATGGAGAGATAATCGCTGCTTCAGAAAATCTCAAGCAGAGTTGGTACATCTGTCAGGGAAGATTTTCGCGGACCGTGTCATTTTCAACATGATCAGACTTTTCAACATGTCAACATTTCAACATATGTCAACATTTTCAAACATGTCAACATTTCAACACTGTCAACATTTTCAACAATATCAACGATTTTCAACATGTCGACATTTTACACTTATTCAACATTTTAGATAGACTAACTAACCGTTACAAATGCTCGATCACAAATGGTACCCGAAGTAGGTTAATACATTCTCCTTGCAGCGACCAGAGCAGCATCTAAATAGGCTGTGCAGTTCTCCTAGTAGCAAGAGCATATTAGAATGCGTTCAATTCTTAATACGGCTCTTCTATGTATGTTATTCTGTGGCATAGGAAACCAGCTTCTCATCGATGCTTGGGACCAAGTTTGGACGTACAGCGCTCAGTTGCGCTACTGGTGGATAGATTGGACTCCCGGATGTTGCTGAAAAGCGGTTCTAACATCAAACGAGACAAGGCTGGGAGAACGGCACTCCCACTGGCTTCCTACAAGGTTGTTGTAGCAAAGTTTTGCAGCTATTCTGCCCAACGTGCTGCAAATAGTTGCCGTAATATCGTATTATCATGTTTAATGTAAGTATTTTATCATGAGCTAAGGATTTATCATTGTAAGTAAGTTACTTCTGAGCTTAGCATATCATTTTTCCCCGATTTCGTTCTTAACTTGTAGTGTCAAGTGTACACATCTGTTGATCATCTAAATTTCGTGTTCCTCTGTAGTGGTTTAGTCTCACATGGCTCGCTTAACATTTTATTGCTTAAGCGTGTTTTTCGTACCAGGGCAAAACTACAAAGCTTGAACTGTTTACGAACAGCAGGATTGCGTCAGACAAGACCATGAGCGCTCGACTTGCATTACACTGGCCACACGTCACAAGTCGCCAGCGTGTCTGGCACTCAATCCTCAAGCAACTTGGTCGGCTGGCGAAGTTCGACGACCAGCGACAATAATAAGTATCCATCAGGTCCATGGTTCCAGATTCTATTATATCTATAGTATGTTCTATAGGTTCCATGTCTCTTCAAAACTTCGCTGTTCATTTAAGGAAAATAAAGGCCCAAAAATGAAAAACTAGTATTTAGATCAGTGTATTTGAGAGTGGACAAGCCTTCCTGGCCTTCCATCTTCCATTAAACAACATGCCATTCGAAATGTCGCGAAGAACCGTTTCTATACGATTGCTCTACTCCTCTTATTCGCGGCTAGTCTAGTAAATGTTGCGTAAATTTTCCGTAAAAATCTTGCCGAGTAAACAACTGCGAGACGATATACGTTTTTCCGCGTCGGTGATCATCCGTTGCCCGATCGGAATGCACGCGAGCCCTCCCTCGCGACAAATGACCTTGAGATTCCGCCTTGGTATTGTCCCCCCGTCGCAGCCAATGACCTTGAGATTCCGCCTTGGTATTGTCCCTCCGTCGCAGCCAATGACCTTGAGATTCCCTCTGTATTTCTCCCCTCCCCGTCGCAGCCAATGACCTTGAGATTCCCCCATCGGCATGCTCCCCCTGTCAACAATGTTGTTTTGCCTGCGTCTTTGCGCAGCGGACGGCACTGCACTGGAGCGCCGCCTACGGAAACCTGGAGCACATGCGGCTGCTGCTGCGACACGACGCCAACATCGGCATTCCAGACGTAGAGGGCAGATCGCCCTTGCACGCCGCTACTTTACGCGAGCCCAACGCCGTGCTCTGCTGCAAGCTGCTGCTGGTAAGACCGGGCGTTGCGGGGGTAGTGCACCGTGCGCAGAGAGTGGTGCGGCGGTGTGGGGGCGGCGTATCCCCGGCACACGGAAATTGTATCGGTCTTAGCCGGTGTGGCCACGGCCACAGTCGCTTAGATACTTAGCCAGGGGGAGCGTGTGCCAACCAGTACATACATACGTGTAGCCAGGGTAGCCTGGTGGCAACGGTTAGCAACATACGGTAGCAGGGGGTAGCGGTGGGGCACGTAGCCAGTACATACGCTAGCCTGGGTAGCGGTGTGACCAACTGGGTAGCATACATACAGTAGCCTGGCCAGCGGGGTGGCCAACGTAGCGCATACAATACGCCGTAGCAGGGTAGCGGCGTGCGTGGCATCACGCGTAGGATACATACGTACCAGGCGGTAGCGTGGTGCCAACGTAGCATACATACGTAGCCTGGGCCGGCCGCGGTGCTGGCAACGGTAGCCATACATACGTGCCAGCGGGTAGCGGTGCAACCGTAGGATTACATACCCGTAGCCAGGCCTCCGGAACCGGTCGCGTAGCCACGGCCTTCTGAGTTTCTGATAATAATGATTATCTATGGGTTTTCTAATAAGATATGTAGATCAACATCGATAGATTCACGTGAAAAATATTATACGTGTTGTGTACGCTGATCAATGCTGCAATCTCCTGAATTATTATTTTTCTTTCAGTGGCCGTTCTGTGAGAAGAGGTGTACATATTGTAACTTCAACAAGTACATCAAGTAAGTGTTTTCTTTGTGATTAAACGGTAAACCTTCTGTCTGTCAATGTAAAAGATGGAACATATTGCGCTTTGATACATTCGAAACGAACTTCATTGTTGTTACTTTTAATATACAATTAAGTAAGCCTCTATAAATTTATCTTTCCAGCAAAAATGTTGATGAAGATCGGATGTTGAAATGCCTCGTCAAAGAAACTGAAGCATTGCTGAGGCTGAGTGCTGTCACCGAAGTTACATCTATATTTTTTGGTGGAGGTATTTCAGTTGATATTTCTATTGAAACGTATAATTGGGTAGAACAACTAATGGGAAGTATGCACCTTGTTTCTGATTTACACCCAGGTGGGGTGGGGCTGTACAATAGAGCTAAATTCACTGATAAAGGAACTGTGTCACACATTGGTGTTATTACACAGTTTTCATACGAACAATTTTTTTATCTAAATCCTGCTTTTGTGCTGATTTTTTTAGGGACTCCAAGTTTGGCATCAGCCTCAACTATAGCAGCATTGATAAACACTGTAGGTAAAACTACCCACATTGCCAGAGATGCAGAGATTACAATTGAGGTTAACCCCACAGCCTTGGAAGCTCACAAACTAAGGTACAAACTAAGTTAGGATCGCATGCACAATAAAACTGTAAAACTGGTTTTAGTCTCTATAACTGTTCTGTAGATCAGTTCAATCTCTTTTCACTTGTACACTTCTATAAACTAGTCAAAAGTTAGGCCATAATAAAAATATTGTTTGTTTGCCCTCACCCGACCGACCTGCCAAAAAGGGATAGACTAGCCGCAAATAAGAGGAGTAGAGCAATCGTATAGAAAACGGTTCTTCGCGGGAATTTCAGAAGGCATGTTGTTTATGGACAGATGGAAGGCCCAGGACAGGCTTGTATCCACTCTCAATACACCGATATAAATACTTAATTTTTCATTTTTGGGCTCTTTAATTTCACCTAATGGACAGGAAATGTTTGAAAAGACATAGAAACCTATAGACATAGATATAGATATATATAGACATCTGGAACCATGGAACCATGATGGATACCTTATTATTGTCCTGGTCGTCGAATTCGCCAGCCGACAGTTGCTTGAGGATGAGTGCCAGACAACGTGGCGACTTGTGACGTGTGGCCAAGTGTAGGGCAGTCTGACCCTCATGGTCCTTGTCTGACCAATCAGCTCGCTTGTTCAGTAACAGCTTCAAGCATTTGTAGTTGCCCTGGTAACGAAAAACACGCTTAAGCAATAAATTTAAGCGAGCGCATGTGAGACTAACATACAGGGAACACGAAATTTAGATGATCAAAGATGTTAAACTTGGACCTACAAGTCTAAGAACGAAATCGGGGAAAAAATGATATGCCTAAGCTCAAGAAGTAACCTTACATTACATGATAAATACCTTACATTACATGATAAATACCTTACATTACATGATAAATACGATATTACCGCAAACTATTTGCACACGTTGCAGAATACTGCAACTTTGCTACGACACGCACCTTGTAGGAAGCCCAGTGCAGTGCCGTTCTCCCAGCCTTGTCCCTCGTCTTGATGTTAGACCCGTTCTTCAGCAACCATTCAGCGCAGTCCACTCTATCCACCAGTACGGCAAACATCAGCGCTGTACGTCCAAACTGGTCCCCAGCATCGATGAGAAGCTGGTTTCCTATGCACACAAGACAAGACATGTACATATTACTAGCAAGAGCGTATTAAGAATGAACGCATTCTTAATATGCTCTTGCTACTAGGAGACACTGCACAGCCTATTATAGATGCTGCTCTGGTACGCTGCAATAGGAGAATGTATTAACCTACTCGGGTACCATTTGTGATCGAGCATTTTGTAACGTTAGGTTACTCCTATCTAAAATGTTGATAGTGTAAAAATGTCGACATGTTGAAAATGTTGATATGCTGAAAATGTTGACATGTTGAAAATGTTGACATGTTGAAAATGTTGACATGTTGAAAATGTTGACATGTTGAAAATGTTGACATGTTGAAAATGACACGGTCCGAAAATCTTCCCTGACAGATGTCACCAACCTGCTATGAGCTTCTGAAGCAGCGATTTTTCTCCATTAACGGATGCAGCGTGGATCTGCCGCAGCTTATATTCATCCACAGGTCGTGTTACAATAGCAAGCACATCCTACAAGCAAACGTTTGATACTATAAAAGGAACAAGCTACAATACAAGGTTTTTTTTATGTTGATGTCGCAAATGTTCTAATGGTATGTTGGACGCTACAAAACTGGTTCAAAGAAGTGAAATTCATTTTTAAAAGTGGTAAATCAAAGTACAGTTTAATAAAAAATTCAATATAAAAGTTGTAGCCAATGATGGAGCTAATTACAAGGCTTACTAATTAGCAAATGCACTGAACTAAAAACTACTTGTAAGAATACCTGTGATAGGCTAGTAGCAATAGTACTGGGTAACGAGCTCATGCTTATCCCATCTTCATCCTATTAGCAAGACAGAAAAACACATTTAATAGACCTACACCACTATTGCATTCAGCTATGTACAGACGAGTGCTACATTTTATATGCATTACACTATATCAACTATGAACACTATACAATTGATGATTATTGTTAGAACATAGCATCTATACTTCCATGTCTACCAAATTCTGTCTGCCTTTATCATCATGACAATTCTGTCAGTAGTCATAAATACAAACTAGGTAAAACCTCTATATTGTAAGACAATTTCATCAGGCTACACACCTACCTCCATGATTCGTTGGAAAGTCGATGTTACTAAGAAGCAGCATGAATAAATAACATAATTGAATAATTTTAGAATCTCCATGAAATAAAAACTTTACAATCAGATCTGTTAGATAGGCATGAAACAACATGAGTTCAAAAAACTATTAAATAATTTTGACAAATATTAGCAAACAGCATATTGATCAATCGATGTCATCGTTCCAAAATCATCTACACGACCCAATTATGCAACTCAATTAAATATAGATATAACCATACAATTAATATTGCTTTATAACTCAATGGTACTAACGAATAATTAATTAACTACCTGCATAACAGTAACAAGTTAATAATATATCCAGATTTATAGGCACGATTTCATTATTAGAGTTTGCGAAAAAATTATTGGGAATTGCCTGTTTGTATCGAAATATGAAATCACTCGTAGAATTTAGTAAAATAGCACATACACTAATTTCATTTAAACAATATCTATGTGATAAGAAAAACATTGAGTAAGAATTACCCGTCGGAAAAGGTACAATCGGCTGTTGTTTCTTCGTCTCACGCAGCAGGACAAACACAGACCAGTTAGCGCCATCTACATTAGCAAAACAGACACACTCTAATTTCCAGTGGATTACGAATTTTCAAATGAGGTACCAGTAGTAAATAAATCATAGAACTTCTGTTGGAATTGTTTTAATTAATGTAAGTTACCCAAACATACGTTGCAGCAAAATGTCAGACATAACCATTTACCTACACTGAAGAGTACTGTGGCTACAGCCTAACTCGAAGCCGACTTGCACCTTGGCTGAGCCATGAGATAGGATGTCGATGGGGCTAGCCAGGCACTGACAGTGACACACTGATTACTGATAGTGATAGTGAGACTGAGACTGAGAGTGAGAGGGAGAGGGAGTCTGAAGACTGAAGCAGTGCTACTGCTAGTGCCCAGTCACCAGTGGCAGTGGCAGTGGCGCCGTTGGTAGGGTGAACGACGAGGTAGACGATACGAGGGCACCTTATAGCATTGGCGCAACCTACTGTAAGAAAGCTGGTAATGTTAATCATTCCTAATATGCATAAATATATGAGAAATTTAGTAGCTGCATAACAGCGGAGTCTAACAGAATTATGGGCGCATCCATATTGATTACGATAGTGCTGCCATCTCAAATGCGAGTCAGTGCGACTCTCAAATACGGATACTTTGACGGGTTTACTGAGACTCGCCCTATAAAATACCTGTATTATAAGATTATATGCGTATATAGATATCTATTTGATGCTTGTTATACTTGCTTCGTTAAAATTTCCCCCCTAAAGCCGACAAGCAGCCAAAAATATTTACGCATGCACCACACAGGAGGTTACGTGTGCTGTTCAAAGAGGGCGCTGCAAAATGACTTCAAGAAGCGCTTACCTTTGAGCTATGCTTTGAGCCAGAGGCTCATATAAACTTATTCTTAAATATCTTTTCCTCATAATATATATCTTGTTTTCGGCTTTGAACTGGTTTCGATGTTTATAGTGAAGTACAACAACATTTTGCAGTTATTAGATAAATGCAAAATTCTGAGACAAGTCCATCATTACACAATTCGACGCAAGCATCTATCTCAATCTGCTGTTTATTTTCACGTAGGGTTTCTGAGTTCGCAGTGGCTACGCGTCCGAAGCAGTAGCATCATCACCACCTCCACCACCACCACCACCTGCAGTAGCAGTAGTAGTAGCAGCAGCAGCAGTAGCAGTAGAAGTAGCAGTAGAGGCAGCAGTAGAAGCAGCAGTAGCAGCAGTAGAAGCAGCAGTAGCAGCAAGAGCAGTACTGTAGTAGTTACGACTACTGCCAATAGAACTTTACATTCTTTACGGATATTACATTTTCCCCACAATAAAATAACCTAAAAGAGATCACATCAGCTCGTGGCCAACGTGGTAAAATCACAACACAAGAACACCAGCAGGCGGCAGTGCCAGTGCTGCCACCTGTCCACGAACCTGTTCCTCCATTTTTATCGGTGGCGTAGACGTCACAGTTTAGCTGCATCATCGTCCGGATGACGTCGTTGGCACCCTTCCCAGCCGCCCACATGAGCGCGGTGCGTCCTTCAAGGTCGGGGATGTCCGTGACGTTGTCCTTGGAAAGAAACACTTTCACGGTCTCCTGAGAAAACATAGAAATACGCGAATAGTATCGAATAGAATAGAATATCGAGTAGAATAGAATATCGAATAGAATAGAATATCGAATAGAATAGAATATAGAATATCGAAAATACGTGAGATGTAGAATGGGTTTTGCAGCTCTGCGTGCGTGGTTATTTATACGTGTGTTTTGCATATTAATAAGCATTAACGAGCTAACAACGAAGTTACATGACACAACAATTGCGACGATGATTTTTCAAATATACTGGCCGCCAGACTTCGAATTGAAACGTCTCGCCACGGACAGTTCACCAGGTTCCGGGAAACAAGTTTGTACTATGCATGCCTGCGAAAATTATTGCCAATGTCTTGAGTATATTTAATGCTCTAGCTGTCATCATTAAACATTATTCTGAATATATATACTAGTAACTATCAATACATAACTGTATCGGACATTTATCACACACGTGTAGGTGGCTGTGCTCCGATTAGGTGGGACTGCAGGCGAGAGTGTTTCTCAGTGTTAACAAATAGCCTCATTCACGTGCAGATGTGTGGCGGAGGCGCGCGCTCTGTTCCCGGGCAGAGTGTCCATGGATCTCATGTTTGCGAGGCCGCGTCAGACCGTGAAAGACTGGGAGGTGGAGTTGCAGCAGGTACGCGCGAACATCTCTGACTGGAAAGCTGCTCTTAATGGTACATTAGCCATGTAAATTTTTCTCGAGAGGCGATTAAACCTAGTTTACGAGGCGTGCGGACGTCCGACTCCGTGTCGCTAATGAAACATGGGATACTCTACAATAGAGTGTAAATGTGAGACATGTCTAAAAAAATTTGATTTTGTCAACTTTTTTAAGCACTAAAGCTGTGAGAAGTACTGCACCTGAGTTGATTTTATGTGAGTTTTCAAAGATAGTGTCATTTCTTTTCTATTAGACACTAGAGGTATGTGACCGGCACTTGTCACTGTATCAGTTGACATTAGAGAGGGGCACAGCACTGTTCAATGCAGTCGCACAAAAACTGGTAAGCTACCTAAAATATATTACGTTTGTTAATACCTATTTAGAGGCAACAAGTTTTTATTGCGAAATCAGAGGCAGTAGTTTTTCATTTAGCGCATACGATTTATATTTCGACCACAGCGGGGGATAATAATAACGTGTCTGTGTGTGCCGTTTGATGTAAACTACATTATATTTAGTATGCAATGTCAGATCTCTTCTGTCTGGTTGTAAATCGAGACATTTACTTACATTACATTACCTTGCATATTCTCTTTCTGCAGACGACCGTGCCAGATGGTGACACTGCAGCAGAGATGTACTGTGTGGCTGTGCAGGTAAGTCGTCATACATACTGCTACGTCGTCCGTCACGGATAACAAACGTATTTATCGTACCTGAGGAATTGCACAATTTAAATCCTAAACCCCATTTTAGTTTGTGTTAAAAATTAAATTAAATTTTATTTACTTGGTTTACGATGTTACGATTTACTTGGTTACTTCGATTTACTTGGTTACGATTGGTTACGATTGGTTACGATTACTTGGTTCGATTTACTTGGTTACTTCGATTTACTTGGTTACGATGTATTTGGTTTATGTTTTGCGTTAACGAATGTGGCCCACTCGACGTGTGGTCTTTCTCAGTATGAGAACATTTTACCGTGTTTGTTTCAGATGCTAGAATCTCACGGTTATTTGAGATATGAAGTGTCCAATTTTGCCAAGCCTGTAAGTTTCAATATAATTTCTCATTCTGTTTCTACTGTGTCGTGTAATGCTGAGTATGCAGTCTACGTATTTTTTTTTATTAAAAACGCGTTTGTTTTGTTTCCCTATTATATAAACTACACTAATGTGGCGGCTGCGCGTTTATCATTTTTCTGCCGATAGGTGGCGTTGGTACGTCATATTTCACTTCAGTCGCTGAATCATTTATAGATGGTTCGTGGGTGGTTCGTGGTTAACTTTCTTTAATATGTCTGTCATAGGGTGCAGAGAGTCTTCATAACTTGTGGTGTTGGCATGGAGGTCAATACATTGGCGTCGGACCTGGTGAGAAATTTGAAACAGTTTACGATTAATTGTATACATAATTATTTGCAAATTTACGTTGAATTAAAAGACACTTGGATATAGTGGTAATATTGAGCATGCAGAGATAAGATTCCAGATACTCATAATATGAGTTATTCCGAAAATTAGAAAAATATAGAGTACCGAAGTGTGACGTCACGTTGTCAAAACAACGTACGGGCTGGTTCTACACAACCCACTGGCTACACTAATAATAGAATAACTAAAAATAAATAATAGAATTAAATTCCGATTATGTCGCTAGGAGCCCACGGGAGATTTGCTCCGCGAGCGGCGGAGAGCGCGCGCAGAGAGGCGAGGATCCAGACTCTGGAGCCGATCCCGTGGATGCGGGAGGTGGAGCGGTGCGGCCACGCCACCCGCAAGATCACGCCGCTGTCCGACCTCGACGTGTAAGGCGTCTGCTTATCCGTTTCCATAGTTACGTCGCGGCGGGGGTCTCCCATTGGTCGGACGCTTCGCCTAGCTGATGGAAATAATACGGAGAGGTTGTCGTGATTGCGTCTGACGCGTAAACGGCGTGTTGTTTGCGTGAATGTTAACGCGTAGCGGTCGAAGAGTCGTAGCGAAGATAGTTGTACTTGCTGTGAGATGGTGAGCATTCGAGTTATAGTGTGTGAATATCATCGAGATAGTTTGTGTGTGAATGTTATAAAGATAGTTTGCAGGAGTACAATACATAAAACATTCGAAAAATGATTGTTGAGTTGATTGCAAAAAAACCTGTAATTTTTCAGACTCGAAGAAATGCTGGTGACAGGACTGAGAACAAGAACTGGCATCAGTAACCAAGTATGCAATCACAGATGGATGAATAGTATAAAACGATGTATTGTTTGCCTTTAAAAAATTCCACATCTGTTATCAATCATATAGTCTTCACTCGGAGCATTTTGTTGTTCATATACATTGTAACGATTTTAATCAATGTTTAGCTCTGACTTCTACGAATCGTGTAGCAGTTAAAGTTATTGGTCTGGATATTTAGCACAGATGTATCTATACGGGGAAAACACGGTGAATACTGACTACGTGCAACCTCGTAACTTTCAGACCTGGTGTCGGCTGACGGGTGGAACAGGCTTGCTGGAGATGTTCACAGCTGAAGAAGTTGTTGAGAGAATTGTAGCAAGTGATTTGTTACATATAGACAGCAGGTAATCACATAGTTTAAATTGCACTTGTTGTAATGCTCTCCAGTTTCGCACGACAGAGTGTCAGTGAATATATAGACTACATCAGGGGTGAATAAAAACAAATTGTTGTTTGTTAGTTTGTTATACAAAATGACTTTTATTTACTCCTGAATGCATACATAACACAAGGAAGTTGGGGCATACTGATAACATTTAGTCTCTGCTTTGGTTGTTGCACATTGCACAAGTTGCTTGTTAAAGCTTTTCAAATGTTATGCGAAAATGTTTCAATAGGTAATTTTCTCTTTTCAGCTGCATGCGTGCGACAACGAAGGGTCTGACAGTGGTCGATTCTATTGTTGTAGAACTCATTAGCATGCTTCAGTGCTACTGGCAGAATAGATACACAGATGCAGAAACGCTGGATGCCAAAAGCTGATGAGCGCATCTCCTTTGATGCAATGATACTACACCCTTAGGTGCTTAAATTAAATATACAATTACGTTTGAATTGCACTTGAGAATTGTATACTATGTTTTTACATCTCTTGAATAAAGTCAAATAGTTTTATATCCGTGCGATCAAAGTCAGGTTACCAATGTGTGTGTGTGTTTGTATATGATGATATGTCGTATCACTGTCTGCTGAGAACTTTCTGATGGATTTCGTCTAGATAAGCAGTTACATATGAAAGACTTCATAGGTTTGGGATTTATTACTCTTGGATCATGGCAAGCTATTTATTGTTTCTAAAGAGCACTGTCTAATTTAATTTTGTTATTATTTGTTATAAATATATTTAGTTTTAATAAAATTGCCTATGTGCATTTTATAGAAATTTTTGAGTTGAAGTTGTTTATTCTCTTTGGCAGAAATAATATGCAATATTCATGACAGCATACATGAAAATAAAAATAAATCACTTAGAAAAATGTCGTTTACCACACAGGTTACAGATTACTACCACTACTTACTATACAAAGGTCATCACTAAATGTATAATTTTTATGAGTAATAAAATTTCCTGTTTATATTTATATTTAATTCCTACATTGTAAAGTTAATTTTATTTATATCATAAAGATGTATCATTGTGCGATAACTCCAATAACCCAAAGTGATATTAGGAGTATATAAACTCTGTTCCTTGTTTATCTGCTACTGTTGATATGCATGTCATTCATGCTTTTCGTCGTTACCGACATACCGGCTAGCGACAATATAATACATGTCATTATACTGGGGGCTTTTTAGTGTATGCTATATAATATCAATACGCATAATCAAGCATGCATGCTATTTGTGCTATGCCGACGATGGCGATGACGACGAGAAATGTACTGACAGTACTGTACATACGGGTACGTGGTGACGTCACATTTACTTCGCTAGTAAATAATGGCGGCTTCATGTAGGGCGTAATATACCGTAGCAATCCGACTAATCTTCTATTAAACATGCATATCCGTAACAACTCGTAGCATTTGATGACGCATAAGTCATTTGACTTCATGTTGGTTGTGAAAATTTGAAGAGTGAGGCCATTTTAAAGGTAAGTTTTTCTGTCAAACGTCAACAATATCCTTTGTTTCGCTGCTGTTTGTTGTGTACACATTATTATCACAGCACCAACTAACAAGTTTCGTTTAACCAGATACTACTTACAGCTGATTTCGCGTCAAACACTTAATGTCACACCCAATGTTACAACATACGTTGTTTACTTGACAGAATGGAGCTGAGGGTAGGCAACAAGTACAGGCTTGGGAGGAAAATAGGAAGTGGATCCTTTGGTGACATATATCTAGGTAAATCAAATGAATTTCATTTTTGAATTAATTAATCGTGCGTATTTAAGTTTCATTTTAACTAGCTGTAAGTTAGGGTAAATTCCGCCCAATTCAATATATATGTTGTGTGGAAATAGGCTATGCAGTTTAATATCTCAAAACGCAGCATGATAAATCGATGTAGCATAGTCATAGAATGACGCATAGTTTCGCATCAAGGTTATGCCTCTCAAAAGATGCACAAATCTATGCGTATCACAGAGTGTCGCACAGTTTTGCATCATTTTATGACACATGTAAATCTGTATGTCGTTCTGTAGAACATGCATATATATACTGATGTAGATGTTGTCATTTTATGACACATGTAAATCTGGGTGTCGTTCTGTAGAACATACATATACTGATGTAGATGTTGTTGTCATTTTGAGACACAAGCTGCTTGAACTTCTGTATCTGTACTGTGTCTTGGAAGTGACAGTTCACACAGTGACACTTCAAACACTTTGAAGTGTTTACATGCACATAGACCTACTGCACATTTATCCATGAAATTTTTTACGTACACAGGGCTTGAAACTAACGCTCGACCGCTCGCCCGAGGCTAGTAGAAATCAGTAAGGGCTAGTAGAATGTGTGGGCTGACCAGCCCTGTTGGCGAGTGAGAATGCCTACCAGATAACATATTACTAGTACTTTTTCAGCAACTACTAACTCGACCGAACTAGTAATAAGTAATATAAAATTTGCGTGTGCAAACATAATAAAATTGCAAAACCTAAACTTAACAGTCAGGGTACCTCAGACAATAAAATCGGTTCAACCACCATGCTGCTCTATTCACAAGCTCATGCCAATCCTCTCACAGTGTATACGCAATACGTTTCTGTTCTACTTTCTGTTTATGTTCGTGGAACGGTTAGTTAACTTAGTTTACGTTTCAGCTGACCTCAGGGTTAAACACTACAATCCCTCCCCTTTTCAAACAATGATTATTTCAATTTAACGTTTGCTAAATATCAAATTAGAAACAAATTTACTTATACGGAGTTGGAATCACCCTGGTTAATATACAATCCAGTCTCTGTGTCTATAATTAACGTGGAATAGTAGTCATGGTTTTGTCAGGTACTGTTATGAAAATAACCTCTTTAAACCTACATTCCTGTAACTGGTATTCTAAGCCTTTTATAATACGATGTTCATCCTAACACTAGCATAACACGCTTAATTATATTCAGTCAACTAAGCAATACAACTATACAAATCTCAAACTAACACAAACAGGATAACTCTACTTATAACTCTATACTGTACTTGTACTAACTACTAACAAACTCTGTATACTTGTAGTAGAGAATTACTAGAGTAATAG